CCCTTTCCTGTGCGAATAGCCTCCCAGGTTTTGTTTTGCCCCCGTTCCCCGTTGCTTTTGTCTGGCCGAGGAGGGGGTCAAACCGCGGGATCCTGTTTTCTGCAGTACCTTCTTTGTTCTACGGGGCCACACGTGCAGCCCGGGAACGGGAGCCCTTTTTTGTTTTACCCAAGGGGTGCGGGGGCCAGATAACATCTTGCTTTTGGTGGTTTTGTGGGTAACCATTTTTTCTATGTGGTGGTGTGTTATTTCCAAGTTTTACCTCAGTACAATTGTGACTCGAGCGGGCTTGTTTTCTTCGATTTCCCCCTGCACTGTTGTAAGGGAGTGGCTTGAGCAGTCTTAAATTTTCCCTGCTGAGTTTTTAAAACCACCTCTGTGAGGGGTCCCCCTGAACCACCCCTATTCCTGCGGGGGCTCTCCCTAAGCCCCTCGCCCCTGTGAGGGATTCCCAATCCCTCTGAAGGCTCCCCCTATCCTTGTCAGGGATCTTCCCAAGCCCCCTTCTCCCTGTGAGGGATCTTTCCGAGGCTCCCCATCCCTGTGAGGGGTCCCCCCGTCCCTGCAAGGGGTCTCCCTCGAGCCCCCTCCCCCCGGTGCTCACAGGCTGAAGAAAAGCTTCTCGTTTATTCCCAACACCCAGGAAGCCACAGACAACACGAGGATGGTGGAGATGAAGAAGACATGGACGCACTTGTAGAGCGTTGGGAACCCAAGGGAAGCAGGAACGCTGCAAAACCCACTGCCCACTGAGGGAAGAGACAGCGAGGACGGAAAACTCGGGGAGCTGGTGGGTTTGGGAGGGCCAGGGTAGCTCCCACCCGGCAGGAGAAGAGCAGTGTGGTGCCCAGACCCAGCCAGCTGTGCAGCGAGTACACGTTGGGCGTCTCGTGGGAATTGTGGAAGTGGAACACGGCCACCAGCCCAGCATGATCGGGATGAATGCTCCCAAAGGCAGGCTGCCGTGCAGCACCTTCCAGGGAAGCTTGGGGCTGCTCCCGGTGTTGGGAATACGGTAAACCGGCGTGGCTGTGAGGGAAAAAGGTCAGGAAGGAGCTGTGCCAGGCTGGCCTTTACCTTCACTGGGCACCATGTCATCTGCACCAGGAACACTGGGGCCAGCTGCTGGCCTTATCAAGGAAGAGCTCTGTCATACAACATCAGGAACCCACCTCAGAATTCAGATGCCATCTCCAGAGTAGAATACATCTGGGAGCTGCTCCCATGTAAAAGGTGTCAGGACAGAAAGGTGTTTCTGGCCTTTACATCCCCTGGGAAGCCTAACATCTGCACCACCAACACTGGGGCTAGGTGCTGTCCTTCCCAAGGAAAAGACTGTGTCATACAACATCGGGAATTGACCTCTGAAACACAGATGCACCCTCCAAAATAGAATACATCCAGGGATTGCTCCAAAAGAAAAGGTGCCAGGACAGAAAGCCGTGGCTGGCCTTCACCTCCCCTGAGCAGCCAAAACACTAGGGCTGGGTACTTTTGTTCCACAGGAAAGGCAATGTTATTGTCTTCCAGTAGCCCACCTCTGAAATCTGGATATCACCTCCAAAACTGAGTTCTTTTGGGGATTGCTCCCACAAAAAATATGCCAGGACAGAAAGCTGTTGCTGGCCTTTACCTTCCCTGGACAGTCAATCATCTGCATCACCAACACTGGGGTGAGGTGTTGTACTTCCCAAATTAAATGTACAGCCACAGTTTTCAGGAACCCACCTCTGAAATTAGGATACTAGACCAAAACAGAGTAAGTCTGGGGATTGATCCCACACTAAAGGAGCCAGGCCATAGAGCTGTTCCTGGCCTTTGCCTGCCCTGGCCACCATTTCATCTGCACCACAACATGGGTATGGCACCTTTTCTTCTAAGGGTAAAGTAGCACCTGAGGGGGTGCTCAGGGGAGGTAAAGCTCAGTAACAGCTTTCTGTCCTGGCCTGTATTCAATTCTGCAGGTGGTATCTGAATTTCAGATATGGGCTCCTCAGCACATATAAAATTACCTTTCCTTGGAAAGTAAAGCACCTAGCTCCTGGGTTGGTGATGCAAATGAGAGGCTGCCCAGAGGTGATGAAGGGCAGCATTAGCTTTCTGTCCTGGTACCATTTTATGGCACCAGTCCCTGAATATATTCAGTTTTTGAGCCTGGATCCAAATATGGGAGGTTGGCACCTGAAAATTATAGCAGTACATTTATTTTGGCAAGGCTAGTACCTAGTGCCAGTGTCATGGAGCAGATGGTAGGGTGCCCAGAGGAGGTAAATTCAGCAACACCTTTCTGTCCTGGAACCTTTTTCGTAGGAGCAATTCCCAAAACGGTTCAATTTCTGAAGTTCTATCAAGTTTCAGAGGTGGGCTCTTGAAAGATGATAACGTTACTTTCCCTTGGGAAGCAAAGCATCCAACCACAGTGTTCATTGTGCAGACGACAGGCTGCACTGGGGAGGAAAGGCTAGCACTAGCTTTCTCTCCTGGCACCTTTTGTGTGGGACCAGTCCTGGGAACTATTCCATTCTATCCAATTTTCAGAGGTGGGCTATCCAATTTTCCAGTTTCCAGAGGTGGGCTCTCAGAAGGTGATAACATTACCTTCCCTTGAGAAGGAAAGCACCTACCCCAGGCCCGCTGGTGCACATAATAGGGTACCAAGGGGAGGTAAACGTCAGCAAAACCTGGGTACATTTTTTTAATCAGAGCAATGCCCAGATGTGTTCAATTTTGGAGCCTGGATCCAAATTTCAAAGCAATAATGGGAGGGAAATAAAATCACAGAGGTCGAGGCACAGGCATCGGGAATGTCGCAGAGGTTCAGCTCCAGTGTGGTGACAGAAGAGGGGATGCTCTCGTAAGGGACGTGGCGGAGGTCTGTCTCGGTCAGGCACAGGCGATGGAGCTGGGGACAGTGCTTCCGGAGGGCAGCCAGCAGTGCCGGGGAGAGGAGCCGCTGCTTGCCGAGGGAGCGGGGCGTGCCCCGCATCCGCAGGGTGCACAGGCTGTCGGGGAGGCGGTGGCGGACCAGGTGCCACAGGGTGCGGCGGGTGATCTGCGGGGGGAAAGGGCCTGGCTGCAGGGGGTGGGCAGGGAGAGGGGCACCCCTGCCCTCGGGGGGTGATCCCCCCGTTCCCCTCAGCTCCTGCCCGCGGGGGGTGATCCCCCCGTTCCCCTCAGCTCCTGCCCGCAGGTACCGGCAGGGCCCGGGGGGTCCGCTGGGCTCGGGACCTCCCCGTCTGACCCTCTTCGTTACCGGCAGCCCCCCCGGTGCCTCTTCGCTCCTTCGCGTTTATAAGCCCCGTGTCTCACCCGATCTGCCTCGCCCCACCATGCCTCTTGCCCCCGAGTCCCCGCTCGGTGCCTCTTGTCCCCCATCACCACCCGCTGCTACTTTGCTTCTCGCCTGTACTCCCGATGTGTAAGCGCCGGTCTCGCCTAGTACCCGCCTTCTCCTCCCCCGTCAACCTCTCTCATCTCTCAGGCAGCGATCAACCCTGTGCGCTTCTTTTCTGACGCTTCCCCATCCGTTTGGATTAAAAAGGGGGTAAATGCTTGGGTTTCTGAGGGCGTTTCCTCCCAAGTGTGGAAACAAACAGGCCTGGAAGATAGGAAATGGTTTGGAAACGAACACTGAAGGCACGAGCAGATGTGCTTGTCCGAGACAATAAAATGGGTTTGGGTCCAATAAAGCACCTGAGTATGACTATTAAATACATACGTGTATGAAATTGTGGTACATGAACATATGGTGTGTGATGAGGCAAAGCAGCAGCTTTGTGATTAATGGTCACTCCCTGCGGTGATTGATAACCTAAATTTCATGGTTTCTCTGAGTTTTCTATTCACGTTGGGGGCTGTGGACTTGTGCTCCTTTCACGATGCCAAGAGCTGTTTCATGCCCTGGCTTTGCTGAAGGTTTAGCTGTCTCTGTTGGTCATTTATCAGGTATATTTAAATAAAGGTAGGCTTTGATGTCATGCTGTGCATATGGACAGCTGGAAGGTGGGGCTGGGGGAAGACCTGCTCAAGTTAAAGGTAAGCAAAAGATGAAATGGAGATAACCGAGCAGAAACCCCCTGAATTTTGAAATCAGAAGGAATAAATGTGGAGAACAAGCCTCCAAGAGCATCAGTAGGTGTGTGAGGAAGGTGAGCAGAACCAGAACTGCTGATTGAAGACCCTTTCAGTCTTTTATTCCCCTAATCTGACTGTGGTCGTTGGATACTTACAGCTCCCCTGCCGCTTCCAAACCTAAAACACCCCACTTTGCACCATGTCAACTTGTAATTGCTGCTCCCTGTTTAGCAGCTGGATGATGAAAAACTGGCAAGTTGGGACTGTGGAATATTAAATTCCATTATTGTGCCATCAGGATCACAAAGATCTTGCTGCAAAGATTGGGAGAACATTGAGGTTCTTGCCACATCTGACTATGCCTTGACTGCCTGACTGACAGATTTTTACTGGTTTTAGTTTTCCCTTTTCCTGTTGCACTGTCCCTCCCCATGCCCAGAGAGTGCTGGGACAGAGAGCATTGGAGGTTTTAATGAGGCTAATTCCACCAGTGTTAATCTTTCTGTCTGGGATAAACATAGGGGTAATTATTAAGCCAGCAGCCTTGGAATGCTTTCCAAAGCAGAGCTGGGGCATTTTACCATTGGATATTTGCCCTGAAGCTATTTTGAGTGGGTTTAGGAACAAAAAAGAGACCAGGGCACAAAGGCCAGGCAACAGCAATGAGGATTTCACCACAGGGAGGGTCACTGCCATCCAGGTCCATCTGAAACCCAACAGTTTATTGCATGAGCTGCAGCTGAATGGAGGGCAGGGGGTGTTTGGGGTGAAAACAGGGCAGAAAAGCTTAGCTGAGGCATTGGTTCATCCTGCTCTGCTTCCTACAGAATGCTCCTGTTGCAAGGGAGGCTGTCCTAAGGGACAGAAGAGATGCAGAACCAAGTTAGAAAAAAAACAAGCCCTAAAAACAAACGTTGAAATTAAACTTAAAAGCTTGAATTTTTTTTAATAAATACAGTATTTGCTTAAAATATAGAATAAAATTGAGGATAACAACATAGTAACGTTTGGTCACTTCTCTGGTGTTAGGATATTGGGAGGGTGGGAAAGGAGGAGGAAGAGAAAGAGAACACAGACAGTAAAAGGTGATGAGGAAACATGGATGTTCCCAGCAAAACCTAGAGGTAACAGCAGCCACAGCAATGCCCGTGGGCAAATGGAATGTCTGGCTCTCGGGACCAGGTGTTCGAAAACCCCCAGCACCAAAATCTTTCTGGGGACTGACATGAAGATCTGAATTTGAAGGAAAGGGGAAGGAACTGGAAGTCATGAGTTTTTGGCTGCCAGATCTGTTTTTTTCAGTGATAGGAGGGGAACCTCACTTTGCTCCTTGAATTCTGCCCTCGTTAAGCTGCTGCCTGATCCTCAGCAGTGGAGAAAGAGGAGAAGACAGAGTTTAAACTAGTTATCCCCCCAGCCAGTTTTTGGTCAGTGGGGTTCCCAAAGGCTCGGTGTGCTTCCCATCTTTCCTATTCCTCCGATCCATGGAAAACAAGGAGGGAGAAACACTACCAAAAATTTTGTAACAAACTTATTTACATGACAAGCTTAACGTATTTACATGAAAAACTTAATGTTTTAAGGCCAATGAGAATTCTGTCTCAAAACTATGTAGAAGAAATCAGGCTTTATCCAAAAAAGGAGCACTTCAAGTGTAGTAAGGAAGGATAACGTTTCAGGTTGTCAAGGAGTGTGAGATATGGCGCAATGTGGAAAATTCTCCTGAATTTTACGGAGGACTTCATCTTCAAAGCAAGTTCCGCCTAATTTGAGGTGGTTCAGGCGAGGCAGCACTTGCAACAAAGCAATAACAGTGCCAAGGGAGACCAAATCATAGAGGTCGAGGCACAGGGTCTCCAGGTGCTCCAGTGTTGCAATAGAAACCAGCCCCCTGTTTGTCAGGAAGTAGGCATTGCTGATTTCCAGGTAGCGAAGCTGCTTCATGTGGCGCCCAATGAATACCATGGCAGCATCACCGATGATGCAGTGGCGGAGAATCAGGCGTTCCAGCTCTTCCAGGTGTGGAGCTGCTGCTTGGATCCCCATATCAGTGATGCGGTAGGTGCCACAAAGGCTCAGTGTCTTCAGGTGGTTCTGTGAGGAAATGTCAAGAAGATGATGGTCAGAAAAGGTGGGAATGCTGTGGATAGCAAGGTGTTGTACCTGTGGTGGTGGCACCAAAGGGGAGACGCAGAACCAGGCATCGGGAATGTCGCAGAGGTTCAGCTCCAGTGTGGTGACAGAAGAGGGAATGCTCTCGTAAGGGACGTGGCGGAGGTCTGTCTCGGTCAGGCACAGGCGATGGAGCTGGGGACAGTGCTTCCGGAGGGCAGCCAGCAGTGCCGGGGAGAGGAGCCGCTGCTTGCCGAGGGAGCGGGGCGTGCCCCGCATCCGCAGGGTGCACAGGCTGTCGGGGAGGCGGTGGCGGACCAGGTGCCACAGGGTGCGGCGGGTGATCTGCGGGGGGAAAGGGCCTGGCTGCAGGGGGTGGGCAGGGAGAGGGGCACCCCTGCCCTCGGGGGGTGATCCCCCCGTTCTCCTCAGCTCCTGCCCGCGGGGGGTGACCCCCCGTTCCCCTCAGCTCCTGCCCGCGGGGGGTGACCCCCCGTTCCCCTCAGCTCCTGCCCACAGCGGTGGGACGGGCGGCCCGTACCCGGTGAGGGCTCAGATCCACATGTGTCCAGACCGCTCGGTCCTGCGCCAGCTGTTGCCACCGCCGGCAGACCCTGCGGGGAGGCGATCAGCCGTCAGCGCCGGGGCGGGGAGGCGGAAGGCGGCCGGTGCCGGCGCCGGGGGGGCCCTACCTGGCCGCTCGCAGCCGGTCCCGCAGCGGCAGCAGCGCCAGGACCTGCAGCAGCACCGAGTCGGGCAGGGGCGGCCGCGCCCGCTCCGCCATCTTGGCCGTTACCAACAACAGCCCCGGGCGCGGCCGGTGCCGGGGCCGCGTCACTGCCGGGGCCGCCTCGGGCAGAGCGGGCAGAGCGGGGCCCTCCGGCGGGCACCGGGAGGGCGCGGGGACGGCGGGGTTGGGGTTGGGGCACCTCTCGGGGTGTGGGAAACAGCAGATCTGGAACTTGGCCTCCCGCTTCCTGGGAGATGCTCTTAGCAGCAGATGGCCACTTCTCGCACTCGGAGCTCTGGCTTACCTACCAGAGCGCGGGAGGGCTTTGCAGGCATCCAAGACCAGTTTCACAAAGGCGCCCTTATTATTTCAGAGAGAAGGTCAGGTCCGTGACTGTTCTCAGTGGTGGGTTCTCAAGCCTATGCACACTGTTAGCTGTGAACTCCCCTTGACATCTTACTTTCTGTGTTCACTTATTGGCTTCTAATTCAGCTCTGCACAGTCACGTGCCAGAGCCAGAGCCACATCTCGGCTGCTTCAGGTGCTCGGCAGATCAGGGTTGAACGGTTCATCTACTTTGGCTTTATGCTGATAGCCGTCGGCATTGTAATTCAAAGGTAGCAGATTCCATAAGCCATAAAAATCCTTTAGGAACTGCTTCCGTTATTTAACTTGCCAAGAAAGAGTGTTTTAAGATTCCTTGCTTGAGGCTGAGGGTGGCATTCCCCTGTGGAACACAGCCCTTGGCAAAGCACATGCCCCTTGGAAACCAGAGGAAAACCTCTGACCTGAGCTGTTTTCCCTGAGCCAGTGAGCACTGCTCAGTGTTTCCCCCACACCAAGCACTGCTCCCGGGGCTGGCACCACCTCCGCTCCAGAGCAGGCAGCGCGCGACACGCTAGAGCTGCTGTGACTGCACTGAAAACCAAGCAGGAGGTGGGAGTAGCTGGCTCTTTCCCCCCATCCGGTCCACTAGGCACAACCCTCTGAGAGGCATTTATTTATAAATAAATAGCATAATTTATTCTACTTGTCTGAGGATGGAGGGATCCCTGTGTTCAGAGCTGCTTGGACGATATTCAAGTCGGCAGGATTTTATAGAGTTTGTATGCAGAATGTTCTCAGAGCACAAAAAGCAGGGCTCTTTTGGGTTTAAGTGCTCTTAGGAGCTTGATCTGTACTCAAGCTTCGTGTCCTGAAAGCTCTTTTCAGGGTTACTCTTAGAACAACTGTTCTTTTCCCTGGATAAAATGGTTTGAATTTCATATGATGGTGTGCAACTTCTAAGAGGAAAACACAAGACCTACTGTATGTGGTTTAAATGTCATTTTTTTACTTCCCAGCATCTTCTATCTCTTGTTTAGGCATTCATGCTTCAATATGCACTTGCTCCAGAGTAAATCAATGCTGTTCTTCCTATTAAGTGACCCAGACCAATCATCCTGAACCTTGGAAATAAATAGTTTACATCTATTTTAAAATTTAGTAAATAATCATTTCAAAATTATTTTGATTGCATCTTTGTCTTTTTAATCTTTTATCACACAGAAAGACCATGTTACCCAAAAAGCGCATCTGAGCTGCCCACAACTATGTCACTAGGCTATGGCTGACAAATCAGGAGCATGGCCAGTAAAACTCATCAGTGCTTAGGCAGCCCTTCCATCATCTAGACTACACAATTCTAGAATTTCCACTGCATCTGGTTTTTTTTTTTTTTGGTTCAGAGACAGGGAAAAGAATTAAATTAGCACTGCTATCTCCCAGTTCTGTAATGACTCTTGGAGTTTTTGGGACGTATGCCTTGATCAAGAGCGGGGGTGTAATGGGATCACATTTAGTTTTGGAGTAAAGCTGGAAGTTGTTCACATTCCTTATACAGGCCTCACTAGCTCAGGAGAAAAGTGCAAACTGGTAAGATGAAAACGGGGTGACCAACATCCAACTCATTCCTCTTCTTTTTCATGACTGTGGTGTATGATTTCAATGCAATGTCCTCTCCTTCTTGAAAGGCTCCGTAGATCAAGTGTTATATGCACTTATTCCAAAATGCTTTTTCAAACTACTTTCTAGTTATAGCTGCCACTCTTTTTTCTCTCACTCACAACAGCTGCTATCCAGATGTTTGTTCCTGTTGCACCCACAGGAGTTTTTCATGTTTCAGATGGAGTCAGGGACAAAACTAAGTTTCACAAGGCAGAGGTGAAGGATGAAACCAACCTAAGCAATCCTGCTATGATGCTTTTTCAGTGTTGATGAAAATTTGCAAATGAAAGGCACCAACTGATGCAAGAGCGTGGGATGCAAAGTATAGACTTCCAACCCTTTGAGTCCTTCCAGCTTTGGGGCTGGAAGGCTTGTGCTCCCATCTGCTGCACTCCCAGGCAGTGCCACGTGGCCGGGAAGGGGCAGTCACGGGGGTATCCTGAGGCCTCTCTAGGCAGGGCTCCCAGGGGTACAGAGGCGCTACCCCAGGGGATCCCGGTCGTGCCCAGGGTGGGGCTCACTGGGGCCAAGAAATGATCACCCAGACATTTGTCATGAGTTTAGGGAAAGAGGAGGCTTAGGGAAGGCCGAACTTTGCAAACAGTATCTGCCTGAGAAGAACTCATTTTAATTGTTGGTGCTGCGGGTCTGTAAGCAGAGGGTGTGGATGAGCGGCGTGAAGCCAAGATGGCGGCTGAGCATGAGGGCTGTAGGCCAGGGGCTGGTGCTGGGCCTGCTCCTC